CTACTTGAATTGACTCACCACGGCTTGCCAGGACTCAACTTGAATCGACTGGTTTTCCATTACAATTTAGTACCTTTTGATATGCGTGGTCATTGTCATAGCAAAGCGTTTGAGCATCTCGCGATGTAATTAATATGCGACATAAATGCAACAACAAAGTTGGACGGTGAGGCAAGAATATACCTGCTGCTCAGTCTGTGGCTTTTCGTCAGACACTGGGAACACGGAGTTTGGTGTTTTTTGGGGGGGGGTTCTCCTGTTGCCGGATTTCAAAAAATGTGGTTTTGATTTTTATGAACAAGCCGAGTTGGCAAAACTACAGATATTCTGTAGTACAGATACTACTGTTAAAAACTACTCCAGTAAAAGTTGAAGTACTGAGTCAAATTCTTTACTTAAGTAAAAATAAAACTGTACAAGCTCTGAAAAGCACTCAAAGTAAGAAAGTACAAAGTAGCTCTTTGGAGGATGTTTTAATTTGTGTGCAAAACTATATGAACCTTGTGTTATATTATTGTGTTATATTAACATAATGATAAAATAATATTAATAGATGGGAATACAAACGTTCAGTCTAACTTTTTTAGAATTCTAATTATACTCAGCTTGAATCTGAAGAAAAAAAGGAAAATATATCTATTTTCTGTTGCCTACATTGTAGAGGATGACTTTGCCTCAAAACAGGAAAATGTGTACAGTAAAGTGGGATTCAGAAGGTGGGGGAACCCTAAAATTGGTTGTAATCTCTGAGTGTGGAGGGAATTGGGAAAAAAATCATAACTGGCAATAATTTCTATTGAGAACTTCAAGAGACTTTCAGACTAGTGTACAGGCTGTGATCAGCTGACCTGCTGCTCTTTGTGGATTTTCACAACGTAATTAAACCAGATGTCAGCAGATATTTCATGAGTTGTCCTGCTGATTCCATCCTCTACACTGACAACAAGCATTGTTTCTGCTGCCTTTTTTCTAGATGGTATAAATTTGGTATGAAGGTGGAATTCAGTCAATGAATATATATGAATGTCTGCTACACTTGATGTAACCTTACTCTGACCATGAACGACAGTCACTGGGCACCAGTCACACACTGTTCTTTACTTTAGAACCATCACAGTACAGCGAATTAACCTGTTTAACCTGCACTGACCTGTTTATTTTCACGCAGCTTTTAAATAGCAGTTAGTCTACCTCGATTTGTTTTACAGCACATTTCACAATGTAAAAAAAACATAATGTTGAATGTACAGACCGAATATCTGATTTAAAAACATGAGGAATTACATGTAAGCTTTACATTTACAGTTTATCAAATACCACTAAACAGTCCTTACATTTAAATCCAATCTCTCTTCTTTTTCTTGTGTCTTTCTTATCTTTCTCCAACTCTGAGTAAAGTTGGCCCTCTTTCTTTTCTCTCCCTGTGAAATACAGCAACTGGACCTTTAGCTAGCAACACACTGTGTGACAAACTGCCCACAAACAGTTTGTGTTTGCTGATGTTTGTTAGGCTGATACCTTGCATTTGAAACTACCTGCCACTTTTTTTTTAAGTCACTCCCTTTATGTTTGCTCCGCTTCAGTAAGGCTGGCTAGATCCCGAAGTACCGCAACTTATAGACACCTGCAGTCATTCTGGTGTTGTGTCAAAAAATAAATAAAGAAAGAACGAAAAAATATCTTCCCACTTTTAACCCCTGAATTTGGCAATCCTCTGGTGATTAATACACGAACAGGACTGCCTTTCATGTTACTGTTTAGTCTCAAATTGCTTTAATGCCTGAAAGCTGACAATGACAAAACTTCCCTCAAATGCATTAAAGCTAAAGTAATGAGTCTGTTTTAAAAATGTAAGGAGAAGAAAGCACAGATATTTGTTAAAACATGTAGGGAGTAAACGTGGTCAGGAAAAACAACTACCTTAAGTAAAATATAGATACCTGAAATTTGTACTTAAGTACAGTAAGGACGTATTTGTAGGAGTCAAGGAGGCCACTTACATCGAAAGGGAAATACCATCTCTGAAATAGATATTAAACGCTTGAGTATTTTGCATAAAAAAATAATATGTATTTAATGGGAGATGGCTTCATGCCCAACTAGCAGAGCCTGCCCTACAATTAAACCAAACCAGTTACCTCATTTGTAGCACAGTGTTATATGTGTGTTGTCATAAAAGACAAGATAACAAATGCTTTATTAGAGATAAAGAAATCTGCAGTGTCATGCTAGCTCTGTGACACTGCAGATTTGCAAGACCATGGCGTGCTGGATCTCTAACCTTATTCAAGTTTATGAAAAATATGATGGCCATCAGGATTACTTGTTAACCAGTGTTTATTTTTATTCAAATGGAGATGTTAAGGGGATTGCTATGCCACAGTCTTTTTTCTTCTACTTTCTCTCATGTTGTTTTTAATATTTTATTTTATCATCTTGTGGTTAGATCTCATGAGCATTCGGTTTTAATGCTTTAACCCTCCTGCTATGTTTGTTTCTCAGGTACAGCAATTAAGTAAGTTAAGCACAGTTTTAGGCACGCAAACACCTTTTCATAGCTTTCGCTTTGTACTTGAGGAAAACCCACTAAATGACATAGAGAAATTGTAGTTGCCATTTCATGAAATGAAATAATTATCTGTTATTTATTGGTGTGCTGGATAAACAGTGGGTAAAAATGTGTAATTAAGCCAACTTTAGATTTCAAGATTGAAAGATAAAACAGGGAGGGGATTTAAGGAGATGCAGTTAGAGTCATAAGTATTTTGAAAACGGCAAATTTTTTTGAAAATATAGTCTCTCAATGGATTATGAGAGAAATTCAAACTTTGATTTTATTTAAAAGTGTTTAATAAAAGTATTGTATTGAGTGTATAGGTGTTACAAATACCCCTCTGTGAATCGCTGCCTTATCGTGGTGGAGGGGTTTGTGTGTCCCAGAGATCCCAGGAGCTATGCTGTCAGGGAGATTTTGCCCCCTGGTAGGGTCTCCCATGGAAAATTGGAACTGGGTGAGGGAGCAGACAAAGAGTGTTTCAAAAGACCCCTATGAGTATACGATCAAGGGAACGGTTCACCCTTCTTGTAATGCATTATAGCCCGAATCTTAATAAAAAGCATTACCTAGGTTTCTAACCCACCATGTTGTTATTTTTATCAAGGTTACCTCTGCGTCACCTGATAATCCAATGAATGTTGCAGATTGCGCTCAAAACACTTTTCCTGCTTTAAGAAAGTATGACCTCTACTGGAAGTAGACAAGAATTGCTTATCAGGTAAAATGCTGGCAAAACTGAAAGTGGGTTACTTGTGTATTTTGGTAACTGGGTGACCCAAATAAGTAAAATTTGGGGAGGGGGGTTATGATGCATGCATTTGAACCCTTAAAAAGAGCGTGAAAAACTGTCTTTCAGTCAAATCAACTATTAAGTTTCACATAAGAATCATCCAATGTGCAGTTGTGTTGCGTTATGTAAATATCCTTGAGTGGATCTCTCACTTACTGTACAAAACTGCTACAGTCTGTTTATTTGAGACTGTATAACATGTATGCATGTAAGACTACAGTCTCATTTAAGTGATAACAGTGTGCAGAAGCCAGTGCAGCAACTTGCACTTTGTGGCTTCACACATCAAGCAGCTTCTCCTTTTAGCTGCATCTCATCTCATGAGACCACATGACACGGAACTTATTCTACATTTGCATTGGTGTGTACTTCACATGCAAATATAATTCATATTTTATAATCAGAATACAATCATAAACAATAAAGCACATTAATAACAAAGACCAATTACACAAGTGCATTACTGCCTCCCTCCTTTCCCAATTCAGTTAAACACACAAACGCAAACTTTCCTCTAATATATATTTTTTTATTCATTCTCCAAACATTTTGCAACCAATTGATATTCAAGACACTCACACACGCATTCAAAGTGCAGACATTAGACAATGACATTTACACAGCACTGTCTATAGAAGATAGGCAACATGAAGAGCAAAGGTGCTAAATATTGCACATTATGATCAGTTTAGGGAATCTTAACTTGTCAGACCACTCAGTTTGACTGGCAGATGAGCCTGGGCGGTTTTTGTGATAGCTGGTCCAAATGAAAAAACAAAACAACAAACAAACAAACAGCCAAGCAATCACGCATGCACACACCTCCGCCGACTTTGCCTGTGGCCAAGTCTGCCAGTTTTTGTCATAGGACTGATGTTAATTTCCAACCCTGACTGAGTAAAAGGTAGACGCAACTCTGTTGGAAGAGGAAAAAAACCTACAACAACCAAAAAAAACCTAAACGAGGTAACAGTTGATAATGGCCAAACTGTCCACATTCCAGGTGAATGTAGTGCATCAACAAATGCAGTTAGACGAATTGATTGTTAATGTATCTTTTTACCAAAATAAAGAAAAAAAGGGGGTTGTCAGGAAACCAAATGTGCAAAACCTGCAAGTCTTGGTTTTGGATGAGAAAAAGGTTTCTATTGATGAGATAAAATAAAATATGGCCTATATAGCTGCAGAGTTATGGTTTCACATTTTCACAAATGTGAATTCTAACGCATCTAATTGCTTCACTGCTCAAGAGAAAAGTACTCTTTTTAAACTAAGCATAGGCCATGCCTGAGAATCACAGATTGTACCACCATAAAACACAAGTAAACATAATGAACCTGGAAAGCGAGGTGATAGGGAGGTATCTGACTGATCTTAAGACTTATTACTATGCTATAATAATAATATGAATGAGTTATTGCTTGGAAGCAGCCATTTTTCAGGCTAGCTTAGATATTTGTTCATACAGGAAATTACATACAATTACAAAAAACCACACAAAGCCACTCTGTTTCACCACGTGATAAATTAGCTTTCAATTTCAAAAACACAAAGAAACCCCCCCTCCCCAGAGGTGTCTCGAGCAGGTGGATGCTAAGGACAGCATCTACTATCCAGCCTGTCTTAGGAGCAGTCAGTGAAGGTGGTCACCATGTTCCCCCTACGCTGCGTCACTGTCCTGCAGTGTTGCTTCCCTGAGCCCTGAAATCTGTTCTCAGTCCTGGAGCTGTGCGTGTGAAAGGAAAACATCTTCTCCAAGTCCTCAAACATATCATCAAATAGTCCTCCGCCAAAGCTGCCCTGCTGAAACTGCCTCCTGTGCCCATTCATGGCCTCTCGATGAGCCTGGAAGTGGCTGTCAAAGTGTCTCTTGTGGTGGGAATTAGAGTGGGAGTGAAAGTGGTGTTGGTGGTGTTGTTGTTGTTGTTGATGTTGACCAAAAGAGTCAAAGTCTTTGAAAATGTCATCAAAGTTGAATGACTTGAAGTGCTGGTTAAAGTCGTAGTCTCCTCCTCTCTGGCCCTCCCCTGATGAAGCACTATGTCCAAACTGGTCATACTCTTGCCTCTTCTTATCATCAGATAAGGTTTCATATGCTGGAGGACAAAAAAATATATATAAGATTAAATTCATTAGGAAATGGGTTACAAAAAGCACAGAATGGGGCGTGTAACCCTTTAGCCGTTACCATAGTGTGCAATTACGTCAACAAAAACAAGGAAAGGTGTGACTGCTGGGGCGGATCCTCCCCTTTAAGTCCGCTCTAACATCAGAATCCTTAAAAACAAACTTTTAAGTAGCAACTACTTTGCTTTTAGGTCTCTAGATCAACTGTATGAGGACTCTTTCCCAACAATACAGACTGACATAATGTGTAACTTACCCTCTGCTATTTCTCTGAACTTGGCTTCAGCGTCTGGCCCCTTGTTTCGGTCAGGATGGTACTTCAGGGCCAGCTTGTGGAAGGCCTTCTTGATCTGCCGCTCGGTAGCATCTCTCGGCACCCCCAGTATGTCATAGTAGTCCATTTTGCCCAGAATGAACTCTGAGATGAGCAGAATATGCACTGCTAGCAGCAACGTCGACTGCGCTGTGGCCATACTGGTGGTTTAGACACCTTTCCGTCTGTGAGAACAGCATTTAGACAACTGTGTTAAAAACGTTTCACACAATTCTGAAACACTTCTGAAGCCTTAAAAGGATAAAATTGTTACCGTTTTGTCAAATGATACAAGCAGTTATTAACTTTCGAGCGAGTCTGAAGGCAGAAGGCGTCGCAAACAAGAAAAATGACAACTTTTACTGGAAAAGGGGAGAAACTAGTTTGACCTTTTAAAAGCTTGTAAATTATACCCTATAAAGAGCCACCGGCGGCAGCTAAGTTAAAGCGTCTTGAAACTGAGAGCTTACCTGTATACAAGGTAGCAAACAGCCCGGGGATACTGGTGTTAATCGCCGGAGGTTCCAGCTCAGCTGATGTGAAACGAAAGCTAACAGTTGTTGTCTAGCTACATTCCTGAGCCGTAACACCACGACTCGCAACGCCATTGGTGGGTTTCCGAACACAGTGATTCAGACCGTTGTGATTGGTGGAAAATATGCGCACGTGGAAGATTTAAGGCCAGGGCGGAACGTAGGTATAGGTAACGCAAGAAAACAATCTGCTCATCTTTTCCGCCTTTGCTTTTCTATTCAATTTTGACGTAATCGATTTAGCAGAATTAGAATACTTAAATAATCCGAGGGTTGGAGAAAACGGAAGCATTGAAAGTCAATAGTAAATTTAAATGAAAGATTTCAAATATTAAAACGTCGATTGTACTTTATAGACAAATGCCGTAAGACCTATACAGGTTTTGCCATCGGTACATTTTTTATTTAGCGCGTGCGTTATTATTTTGTAGGTTTTTATTTAATACAAATAATGAAAATAATAATTTTATTTAAAAAAGGTATATCCTCATAGGGAATCTTAATTTCAATGTAAATATTTCTAATAAGTGATGACGTGAAAGAGCCAGTAAAAAAAGAAAAGAAATGCTGTACACGTCACTTCCGTTACGAGGGCTACAAGCCGGATATAATCATCTACGAGGTGGTTTGTGTTTTTTTTCTAATTGTATCCTCGAACGGGTCTCGCCGAGGTGTTTTCATGTAGTCTGACTACAGATATGCCACGCTACTGCGCTGTGAGACTTTGCAGAAACCGTGGGGGGACTGCATCAAGACAAGACAACAAGAGAATCAGCTTCTACCCGTATGTTTTTGTTGTTTTAGTTCATCTGTAACGTGTTGCTTGGCTTAATTGGTGAAAGATGTCACTTGCAGGAGGAGTAAAAAGGATGTCACCTAAGTATATCATAGTGCTTGCTTGTAATGACACGCGGGTAGACTGTTGGGCTGAAACAAATCACACTCCAGTGCTTAGAGTTAAAGCTCTCTATTATCGGTCTATCTCTCAAAGGTTTCCTTTGCAAGACAAGTCCAGGCTTCAGAAATGGGTGAGCAACATGAAGAGGGAGCAGTGGACCCCGAGTCGACATCAGTATCTGTGCAGTGAGCACTTTACAGCGGACTGCTTCGATATTCGATGGGGAATCCGGTACCTGAAGAATACAGCCATCCCCACCATTTTTCCTTCTAGTGAAGATGTATGTATCTTGCAGCATTTAGAAAACATCAAGCTCAGAATACAATTTTAGCTTCTTAATAACTTCTTAAACTTTGAGTATAAAGCGTGGTCCTGTGGAGTTAAGCCTGTATTTATATATATATTTGTATATATTAGTACTATGTTATAACAGTGACTGCAAGGAAAAGAAGTAGTGAAGGCAGGTGAGTTTAAATACCTGGGGTCAACCAATCAAAGCAAGAGACAGGGTACAAGAGTGGTGACGAAGAGAGTGCAGGCAAGGATTTAAGCAGTTTCTTACCACGCTTTTGTTGCGCCAAAACTTGTTGATTTTCTGTTAATTCCCATTAATGAAGACCTTTTATCTTTTATTCCAGGACGATGAGAAGAAAACGACAAACCTGAAAAGAAGCCTCAAGGCTAAAACCATCATTTCACTCGGTGATCCTGAGCTTGCAACATTCGACTCTCCTGCCAGTAAAAAAAGGCCACTCATTTTGAGCAAAACAGGCAGAAAGTCCCAGTCAGCAGTGATAAACAATATGTCTGGGGAGCGCACAGAGATGGTATTTGAACCTGCGGTGTTGGACTCTCATTTAGAACGTTCTGAGATACAGACTGCTGCTTGTGAGAAACCACTTGATGGTGAAACGACAGCACAGTCTCCAAGAAAGGAACTCTGTTCTGAAGAGCAGGCCGAGTCCGCTGTGACTGTATTGTGCTGTGAGCCAGGTTCATTCTCTGATGCAGGGGCAAACATGGATGGAGATGCATTCCAGGCAGTGCTGGGTCAGGCTTTTAGCTTTGTCCCCATGGAACTGGTCAAGGACAAAACCACAGGCTGTTTTTTAGTAAAGAGTGGACTCACTGATGAAGAGAAGGTTTCTGTTTTTGAGCATTCGTACTGCAGACCGGATACTGACAAAGATGAGCTCTGGAGGAAGATCTTGAGTTTGCACGCAAAGATCTTAGAACTGGATCGCAGGGAGGAGAGCACGGTGGCTAAGATCCGTGCCCTGGAGAACGAGGTAGCCCTCCTGAAGAGGGATGGTGCTGTTTTTAAAGAGAAGCAGAAAGTTTAAAAGAGTGTATATCATCTGTGCTGGTCTGAATTTTTACAAGATGGAACGAGATGTTAATATATTCTTACAGTTGATTTGCTTTTGTAGACATGTTGCAAATGCTTTCATACAAACTTTACACAAAGCACACCAGAAGACGCTGCGCTTCAGTCATATGTCTGCTGGATTCCTTAATGCTGACCTGAATTTATGCGTACACACATAATAAAGTCAGACCAGCCTCAGACCATGCATATCCTCAAAGGATGAAGCCATGGCTGTTTCAGACAATTTAAACACAATTTCTAACAAAGTAATATAGCAAATACCTAAAAAAAAAAAAGAAATGACAATAATAACAATGTAATATACATGTATTCATTTACAGTTTTAAAAATGTATAAAACTATAACACAGAAATAAGTGTAATGCATTCTAATGAAGAAAACACAAAATATGTTTTACATAACACAAAAATGGGGATACCTTTTACACACCTGTGATCATATCCCAGCTTTAAGTGGTTAAAATGAGGGACAGATGATAATAATAATAATAATAATAATAATAATAATAATAGTAAATAAGCATGGCATCGATGTGCTTTCATCATTGGTCCATTTATTGCGTCTTTAACATTAAACCTTTGTACTTCTGTCTGATCAGAAGCTTATATGATGTGGGTTTTTTCTCCTCTTTTTTTAACCATTATGACTGCTGTGCAAACACAGAATTCATGTTCAGTAAGCTGACAGCTTTCTCCACCATACACATCACCGTCTCTCCATGCATTCCTATATAGAGAAATGTGGGGTGGAACAATGTGGCACATGCCTGTTGGGTTATTATCAGTGATGAGGAAAACTGGCTGGTGTCTATGTTTGATTGAATGAATGAAAGCTCAGTGTTCTACAAAACAGTTCCCTGCTTCTGTTATTACACACGTGTATCAGATCATCTTTAAGGTTCCACCTGCTGGAGCTGGATTACAGCTTCTCAGTGCTTTGTTACAGTGCATAATTATTATTATTATTATGGGATGCAGTGCAGAAGTTTTAGGAACCTTAGATGTGGTGTATGAACGGACCCAAATTCTGCAACATGACGCAATCCAGAGACATAAAGAACAAGAGCCCTGCAGCAGATGCATCTGAGGTGCTGCAAAAGAGGCCTTTCTGCTGAGAAGCTTGAAAAACTGAAAGTTTTCCTGTTCTTGCTGTTTCAAAGTTGGCCACGCCAAAAATGCATTACTGCACTTTATATAAGTTTACTAAATAAAAACTATTATTTGCGAGAATGTTTAGTGCCTAAGACTTCTGCACAGTAATTTTCTACTCTATCTTGTGATCAGTTTTAACTTCCTAACTTATTAATGGTTATTTGACTGCTGCCCTGTGCAGCGTTGTTGCATTTCACTGTGTGGTCTGTCGGCAGCTTCCTTTGTTATACTCAGTTTGTTTGCTGTACGATGTCACTGTTATCACTTCATATGTTTTCTTTTAACAAGATTTAAATGGTTTACATTTAATGTACTGGTGTGCTGCTTAAGTGCTACATGTTATACAATTACTCATTTAATTGTGTTTTTTTTTTAAGACTGAATTAATATAAATAGAACTGGAAAACCTGCAATACCTTGATGTGCTGCTGGTAAATTCTTTCCATTTTGACTGTGTTGTATCAGTGCATTCATTCATTTTTAGGTTTTTTTCTTTAAACATTTAGTCTGCAAAAAGAATATTGAGTGAAAATTGATGCAGGTGTATTGTGATGATGGCAAACTAAGCATATGATTCAGTTTTCATGCAGGGGCATTTTTTGTGCAGTGTAGATTCAAGTGACAAGGGTCAGGTGACCACAAGTCTAGATTTTCTGGGTTTGAAATTGAGCTGAAGACTACTGACAATGTGTTCATTTGTTTTTCTCCTCATGTTTTAAAAATGACAATGATCCAGTTTATGTAGATCTCTTTGTTCTTCAGCTCCACCTGCTGGAGAAAGAAAATCATCATCGCTGTCTTTACACAGCTGTTCCAGCTGGCACCTATTTAAGCACAAATTGCTGTTGTTGTCTTTATGCCTCTCAAACTGGAATTGAAATAATGCTGCTGTGCATTTTCAATATTGGGATACTGATATATATCTCAGAGATATCTCAGCTTTCCTCTTCTTTGCTGCACCACAGTAAAAAGTGTTTAAAGTCATTCTTACAGCCTGCTTTAGCCTAAACTAGTAAAAGTCTGAAGAGGTACTTCAAGCCAGGTGTTTTACTTTCATCCAGCCATCCATCGATCCATTATTTTAATACTTATCCAGATTCAGGTACCACGGGCAGCAGTCTAAGCAAAGACATTACCACCCAGGCATTCCCAGGTCAGTCTAGAGACACTGACGCATTCCCAAGTCAGTTTAGAGACATTTAGGCATTTCCAAGTCAGTTTAGAGACACCCAGGCATTTCCAGTCCAGTCTATAGACAGTTAGGCGTTACCAAGCCAGAAATGCCTCACCTAGGAGTCGTCCAGGAGGCATTCTAGTCAGATGCCTGAATCACCTAAGCTATCTCCTTTCAATATGGAAGAGTGGCGGCTCTACTCTGAGCCCGTCCCAAGTGACCAAGCTCCTCATGCTGTCTTTAAGTGAGACTCCAGCCATCCTTTGGAGGAAGCACATTTCCAACACTCGTGCGCTTTCTCTTTTTTTGAAAATCGAAAAACACTCAAAAAGAAACAAAGGCAGACAGACAGAGTTGTCTATAACTCTACAAAAGCTGTGCAAAAACAACAGTTACACATCTTTTGAGATATTATATATGTTATCAATATTCTTTTTTTAAACATCAGGATTATCCGCAGCATCATGACAAGTGAACTTTGTCCACGCTGTTCTTTTGAGATTAAAATGATGAAAGATTATAAAAGATATATCTAAAACTTATATCTATTTGAACACTGACTTTTTAAGTGTCAGCGAACCTGTGTGTGAAGTTCTTAAAACTTTTGTTTTAAGATAAAAAATAATCATTTAAAAATGTCAGAGTCTCTTTGAAATGTGCAGGCCGATTGTTTTGTGTTTGACCTTGTAATATCTGCTATGACTAGGGAGATTTTAAAGGTTGTGCCCATATCCTTCGCAGACCTTGGAAACTCAGCGTACAGATAAGCGTCTCTCATAGGCCCAGACTTTTTGCATTTGTGATTTAGATAAGCAACAACTAGACAAATAGGATAAGCTATTGCTTTTTGGCTGTCCTGCTCCTCAAACGGCATCTTGTAAATTTGTTGTTGCTTAAAACAACCGTTTACTGTATGCCAAAATGACCTTCAAGCTACTGAAAAAAAGTACTAAATACCATGTATCTTTGTCTTAAAAAGGTTAGGTTTTGATGCAGTGACTTGTGCTAAGAGCTACTGAAGTAGTCATGCATATGGCTTGGTGGTAGTTTCCCTGGTATAATCAAAAAACAGCTGACATATAGACTGAGGATAATAGAAAAGTGAGATTGAATAAGAATGGCAGTAGATTATTGCCCCAAAATTAATGAATATAGATGCCTTATTGTCAAATAGACCCCCCAAAAAGTCCTGCAAACAGAGTTTTTTTTCTGCCTATGTTTTAACAGAAGGGGTTCTGCAGTCTAAAAGTCATACGTCTAAAAGTGTTTACTGTGAAACCATCCATATTGGAATGAGCAATAGTGCCATGTCG